TAGTCTAGTATACATGATTAAAAGTCAATGACTATGATTGACAGGTAAATTGTTTTCTAAAACACAGAAACTCACTATGTGTTACCCTTTTAAAATCTGCATCCAAATAAATAAATTACCAGTGTTTCATACTACTGCATTTCTGCAAACCAAGCCACCTGCTGTTCTGATCAGCTGGCAACCACACAAAGAAAGTTCTGGAAAGGTTTGGATATTGTCAACAGGACCTGATTTTGTAGGCATCTGGAACTGTGTGGAACAGAGTGAAGGAGGAACAGGAAGGGACACATGTTTGGATGTGCGTGAGTATGATGTAAGAAGGAACACAAGAGATTAGAAGAATTACAAGAAGAAAAATCATAGTAGTGTAGGTTTTATATAAGATCCCTAAGGAAAGGGTGGAAGAACAGGCTTTGTGCTTTTAGCCATGTGAAGACTTCAGAATGCAGCTGTTGTGCTTCATTACTTCAGCTATTTCTTATCTGTTTGGTTTAGCAATTAACTGCTCCTCAAATTACCATTACAACACAATTACATTAAAACAAACTGACATGTGAAGTGTTAAGGGCTCAGGGATGTCAAAGAGTGCATCTACATGGCACAATTAATGGAGTTTAACACTACTTTAAACTGCCATGGCTCAATGGTATCATGGGATTTGTCATTTTAGAAGAGCTTTACCCTTCTCTGACAAGGAGTGCTGGTGCAATATTAAACTACAACTCTTAGGATTTCATAGCATTTAGTTGTGGCTATTAAAGTGGTGTTACACTGCAATAATTTTACTGTGTAGATGCACCCTAAGTCATTCTGCTGATTGATGCCAGGCATAAAATTATCATTTTTCTATTTCCAACTGAAGATAAACAGCAAATAAAGCTGATCAAATTATTTTGAGATGTGATGGGGAAACGCTTCATTTGCCTTTGTGATTCAAACAAAATATAGTACAGTAACTACTATCCATTTGCTGCCCTGAGGCTGCTTTGTAATCTATTATGGCTGGCCTGTCATTATGTTGCAGAAGATTCATCTTAATCTGTTTGGATGACAAGCTCTTTGGAATGTATGGTATTTATTTCCCTAGACATTGTGGCCATCCAAAAAGGGGGATGTGGAAGTGATCAATCGATGTCATGCGCAGTCTCCTTGTGACCAGGCAATCAGTATGAGAGCAAAGTGCTTCTTCGTTGCCTGTTGCCTCAGCTACGCTGTTTAATTCTTGGGACACACAGTATTCTGGTGGAGTCCCTGATTCTTTTTGAACTTGAGCAGCTCTGGTTTAATGCTGAGCAGGAATAAAGTGCTACAGCTGGCAGGTGAGGGAAGGGACAAGGGCTCCTGGCTACACACAAAAGAACATCAAAGGATCTGTCCTATTTATTTCCTGTGTGTTTGTGAGATTATTGCCTTTCTTTGTTTGCTGCCAATTTGACAAAAGGGTTTCCATTAGTGCAGGGAGGGTGGGGGGGGAGGGATATAGATTTCTCCCTTACAGCCTTCTGTGCATCTTCAAAATCTGGAGCTTGGTAGGATGCTATGGAACAGACTTTGAAGGAAATTTGGAGGAGGAGGGGGATTCCATGGGGAGGACATTCAATAAGATGCTCCTTGTTATAGGGCCGGATGTCTTCAACACATGTTGAAGGGTTCTGTCCTGCCCCGGTCCTGTTCAACATCTGTATTAATGACTTAGATCAGCGATTTTCAACCTGTGGGTCCCCAGGTGTTTTGGCCTACAACTCCCAGAAATCCCAGCCGGTTTACCAGCTGTTAGGGTTTCTGAGAGTTGAAGGCCAAAACATTTGGGGACCCACAGGTTGAGAACCACTGACTTAGATGAAGCGTTAGAAGGCATGATCATCAAGTTTGCAGACAACACCAAATTGGGAGGGATAGCCAATACCTCAGAAGACAGGAGCAGAATTCAAAACAATGTGAACACATTAGAGAGATGGGCCAAAACTAACAAAATGAAGTTCAACAGTAACAAATGCAAGATACTCCACTTAGGTAGAAACAATGGAATGCAAAGATACAGAATGGGGGACGCCTGGCTTGAAAGCAGTATGTGTGAAAAAGATCTTGGAGTCCTCATGGACAACAAGTTAAACATGGGCCAACAATGTCATGCAGCAGCAAAAAAAGCTAATGGGATTTTTGCCTGCATAAATAGGAGTATAATATCTAGATCCAGGGAAGTCATGATACCCCTCTATTCTGCTTTGGTCAGACCACATCTGGAATACTGTATCCAATTCTGGACACCACAACTGATGAGAGATGTTGACTCTAAGCTGGAATGCGTCCAGAGGAGGGTGACTCAAATGGTCAAGAGTCTGGAGAACAAGCCCTACGAGGAGCAGCTTAAAGATCTGGGCATGTTTAGCCTGAAGAAGAGAAGGCTGAGAGAAGACATGATGGCCATGTATAAATATGTGAGGGAAGTCATAGGGAGGAGGAAACAGGCTTGTTTTATGCTGCCCTGGAGACAAGGACACGGAGCAATGGCTTCAAACTACAGTAAAGGAGATTCCACCTGAACATTAGGGAGAACTTGACTGTGAGACCTGTTCAGCAGTGGAAGTCCCTGCCCTGGAGTGTGGTGGGGGCTCCTTTTAAGGAGGCTTTTAAGCAGAGGCTGGATGGCTATCTGTCAGGGGTGCTTTCAATGTGATTTTCTTGCTTCTTCGCAGGGGGTTGGATTGGATGGCCCACAAGGTCTCTTCCAACTCTATGATTCTATGTCAATAATCACCATGCATCAATTTCCTTGCTGGAATCTTAGAGGTTTTATGCAACATACATAGTTTATTTACTGTATTTGTATACCGCCTTTCTCAGCCTATCAGCGACTCAAGGCGGTTCATATCAAGAGGGGAGAAGCTTAGGGCCCCATGACTCCCATCATTCCTCTCCATTGGCAATACTAGCAAGGGCTGATAGGAATTTAAACACACCATTTGTAGGGCTGTAATTCTCAAGCCCTGGTCTATATACTGTGATCAAATGGCAGGTCTTATTGCTGAACTGCATTTGGAAGAAAGTACAGTAGATTCTCCGTTAATCGGCACCCATGGAGATAGGTAGATGCTGGATAAATGTAGTTTCTGGTTGCTTGAGAGTTAAAATTAAAACTAGCCCTAACTAATATTATACCCCATACTATTCAAGTGCTGGCTTTAGTCTATAAAGCCATAAACATTTACAGCCCAGTCTACCTGTCTGAACGTATCTCCTCCTATGAACCACTTCAGACACTAAGATCATCTGTGGAGGCCTTGCTCTCAGTCCCACCTTCTTTGCAAGTGTGGCTGGTGGAGATGAGGGACAGGGCCTTCTCAGTGGTGGAACTCCCTCCCTAGTGACATCAGACCAGCCCCCTCTCTCCTAACCTTCAGAAGAAGAGTAAAAACCTGGCTCTGGGAGCAGGCTTTTGAAAAACAAGGCAGTGCAGCAATTTTCAATATGGAATATATGCAATTAATCACGGATTAGTATTGGATATTCTTAGTGGGTCTGTAGATACGTTTGTAGGTTGTGTTTCCTCATCAGCTTCCCTATGTGATCAGTGAACTCAGGCCCGTAGCCAGGATTTTCTTTCGGGGGGGGGGGGGGGGAACGACTCAAGGTGGCTTCACATGTGAATTTTTTTCAGGGGGAGGGTTTTGGGGGGGCTTAGTTTTTTTTCAGGGGGGGGGGGTTGGGGGTGGGGGGGGGGGGGGGGGGGGGGGCTGAGTCTGAGTGAAAGAGGGTCTACCCTAGCAAACCTTTTGTATCATTACTCCAATACCCCCATGCATATGGGATATATTGAGTATGGTGATCAGATCATGATATGAATAAACATAACAGTTTAAGTAATGCACCAGTAAGGCCTTTTCGCGAACCACCATGAGAATTTCGGGGG